TACATGTTTCCATATTTATTAATATACATTGTTACGTTGTAAATAATTAGTGCACTTTGAATAAAAAAAACAAAATTTGATTAGTTATACAAAATTTTTCATATCTCTCTGTTAAATTATTTAAAATTTATAACTTATATTTTAGTTTAATTTTGAAATGATTTGCTTAGTGGCCTTAAAAATTTACTTCAATCGATTTTTTCCTGTGTTCTTTGCGGCCGCCAAACCCACCCACTCGGCCGTCGCCACCCCCTAAATCCACCCCCTCTCATCTGGCAGCGGTGTCCTTCATCAGGATGCCAACAATATAAAGCCTATTTTCATTGTTTCCTCTCTGACACTTGAACAGCTGACAGGCGTCGACGTCAAAGTCATGTTGCTAGTGTTGTTGTCGTTGCCCGGGCCGTTAATTAAATTAAGTAAAAGTAGCAAAGTATGTTCGTACATTATTTAGTAGAACCCTCATTTCTTTTTATTTTTATTTTCATTTTTGGTTTCTTTTTTTTTTTTTTTGTATTTTGCCTCTTTTTCTTTTCGTGCTGAACGGCTTTATCAGCCAGAAAATGATATGTAAAGGTAAAGAGGGAACACTAAACAAAATGGGGAAATATATAGAACAAGATAAATAGAGAGGAGTGAAAGAACAGAGCATCAACTAAATGGAAGAAGAAAAAAAAAGCCTAGTCTCGTACGTTGTTTTTTCACAGTCTTTTTCCGACAACAACTGCTGATTGTGAAACGAACGTGTGCAAATATTTATTTAGTTAATATTAATAAATCAAATTTTCATATGGCGAGTTTACACTTGCCATAAAATTAGCTATTTAGTATATATGTGTTATATATACAATTGACGTTATAAATTCATCTGATTGGTATGTGCAATATATTTAAGCCAAGTGCGATTATTTTGCAGAATACCAGTTCAATTTATTTAATTAATGGCAGTATTATGGTTTCTTCAAATTCAATTAATTAATTTTCTTAAATTGTATATGGATATTATAGATTAATTTCGTTAAAATAATTTTCCACTAATGATTTGACTTAATGTTTTGATTGGACATAATACAAATTTCGTTTCATCTTAAATAATGTGCAAATTGTAGCGTATTAATCAAATTGGTATAATTATTGTTTCTTTTTTGAATAATTTTTTTAACTAATAACATTTGCTACTTTACGGATATTTTAATCTTAGAAAAATCGTTTAAAAATATAACCTTACGACCACTCCCATTTGTAACTTCCTAATTCAATTTCAAGGAAGTGTTTTTCAACCCAAGTAAAATGTAATTAAAAGAGGAGGAGGAATAAAACATTGACAAAAAACACAACCGAGTCGTTATCATTTTTATGCATTTCGCTCTTGGGTTTTTAGTGCAAGAAATACGTTCTTATTTTTAGGGGCTAAACAAAAAGCGATTTGCATTAAATGATTATTTTTACTAGCGGAGAAGGGAAAAAGAGAAATCGATTAAAAGGCTTCTGCCTCTCGTGCACGTGACACCAACAGAAGGCTCTGAAACTCTGGACTCAAGAGAGTGGGTGGTTGGGTGGATGGGTGGTCTTTTGCAAGGGGGTGGAACGACCATGGCCCATGGCCCATGGCCCATGGCCCGTGGCCCGTAACTCGTGGCCAAAAAGGGGGAGTGAGTTTCGTTTTATAAGGGGCCAGAAGCAAATGCGCCACATGGCAAAACGGACATAATTGAGCCGTATAACAAGCCCAATGACCGATTAAGCCAACATGGCGAGTGACCCTCAAGTGAGCCAAATGAGTTGAGTTCACTTCGGATTGGTTTCGTTTTTGTTGAGGTGAGGCCGTAAAAAAAAAAAACTTAAGAGCAAAATGTTCTTAAGGAGGAAAAACTGAGACAAGATCCCAAGGCAAATGGATCAAGTTTATGGCCTTTTTATGCTTTTCAATAATAATTAAAAGATCCACTAAATACAAACTGTTTTTGGTACATAAAAAGTTTAAATTAAAATTACTTTTAATAATTTTAGATCTCGAAATTCAAGAATACAAATTATTTAGTAATATATATATTCAAGTTCTTCTAATTCTAAAAATTGATAATGACTACATATATTATAATAATCACAAAACAAAAAAAATACAAGCAAAGTAAAAAAGTTTCCCTTTGCAATATCTAATTTCTAACCAGATAAAAGTCCAAACAAAATGGAGTTTCCAAATTTGCAGCCATCCATTACTCTACTGTCTGTGATATACGCTATAAACACCGAATCCATTACCAAAAACAAACCCCCCTAGTCCTATCTTACCTGCTTCAATCTAACTTATCCATATCCATATTTTCACTCATGTCCCTATCAACCTTGCCATCCATTAGCACCTCCATTTCCACAATCATTAATCGACCACGTTGTTTCTATTGATTTTCTGGGTCTGCGATGTCTTCGGGGGGTTTTTCACGGTTGCACGCAGGAGTGGAAACTTTACTTTTTTATTTCCATTTTTTTTTATTTTTTATCTGTGTGGAACTTATTTTTTTTTTGGTGGCTAGGAGAGTTTTTCGAGTCTGCAGCTGGCATTGGAACACGTCAACGCATTTTTTCACGCTTATCAGATCGTGCCATATAATGTACCTATCTGGGTTTGTAGTATGTATGTATATAATATTCCCCCACTTGGCACACATTTCGCTTTTGCTTTATATTTATGTAGGTGTGTGCACCTGTGTACTTGTCTGTATCTACAATTTATCTGCCGGTTTGGCGCTTATCTTATCGGAGGCAATTCGAGTGCCATGGAAACGACGACGACGCCGCCGCTGAGCGGATGACGAACTCAAATTCAATTTCTTTTCAATTTCTTATTACGGACTACCCCTCTCAGACTTTCTCTATAACCCCTTTTTCGTCTACTTTGGCCTCTTTTCCTGTCTGTTCTATTAATTTTGCTGATTTATGTGCACTTTGAAAATACAAAACTACGTAACATTACGACTTTTAGCTTTGGTTGCCATTTGGTTCAACATTTTATTGCAAGCTCAATAAGCTCCTGTTTCCAGCTGTTTTGATAATAAATTGTAAGTCTTTTTTTTTTAGACTTTCAACGAAAAGTACTCTAAAATTAAATTTTATTTAATATTATTTTATTTTTAATTGGAAAGCAACATTCTCCAATGGTGTCAGGTTCACAAAAGGAAATTGGGGGTTCAATTACAACCCCGCTGCACATTCGGATTAAAAAAAAAAAGTTGCCTACAAAAAATATGCCCTCAAATTTTGGTTAAACTTCAAAATCAGATGGGAAATTTTGCGACCGTAAGGTGGAGGAATATTTACCACATTTTCAGCTGAGCCTAAGCTAAAAAAGTGGCCCTCATTTTGGTCGAGGTGCTGCTTTTCTGATTTTCCTTTTTTTTTGTATGCTGAAACTCATATAACTTTTCCGACTCAGAGGCATAACCACCTGGCGGTGGCTGTTCAGTTGATGCTGGGTTTTTCTCATTTTCACGAGGGGGCGGGAAAAACTGAGCGGTAATGATGAGCGACGGTGTCGTGTTTTCATTAAGCTTCAGAAATTTAAATATGTTATAATAATAATGTGCGTCACGTGAGTCTTTTAGGGGAAAATCTGCGGAGGGTGGAAAAGTTGTGTGGTGGCGGGGTTGGCAGTTGGAAAATGCCATGACAAGAAGAAGACAAGTGGCATAGACATTGTCTTAGTCCCCAGTCTTTTGATCCTAATCACAGCCCCACACAGTCGGGCGAGATTTTTGGCATACTTCTTATAATTTAACCCACATTCACAACGACCTCCAAATCCGCCCCCACACACAACCACCCACACTGCCACCCACACAGCCACCCACACACCACCACCCCAATCTTATCCTTTGCATTTGCGGCTTGCTGGAAATGTTAATTTTCCTCTAATGGGAATGAGAAAAGTCGGTCTTGCTGTGTGAGGAAATTACTTTCTAAACAGACAGTTAAATTGCTGTCGAGATTTGAAGTGAACTTTTTCATTCTACTACCATTTTATTTTGCAGGCCCTTTAAGTTTTCAAGCCCAATTGAATGTGGCAGACAGTTGTTATTGATATAATTTGAATTTAATTTTTTTTACGCAACATTGCGACAGCTGAATGTAATTAAACTGCATTTAGTTTTTGTACACATCGCGCGCTGCCCTGGATGAATATTAATTTGTATGCTTTTTTTTTTTGTTTATTAATTGATGGAGAGCTTTAAGATGGAAATATATGCATTTAAAAATGTGCGTTTGTGTATTATTGGTATTTAACATAATAATTTATTCAAACGAAATATACTTATGTCTCATAATTAATGGATTTAAACATATTTTTTGGACGTTAACGGTTTCTAGCTTTAAAAAGCTTTTAAGTTGCTTTTTTATTGTGGACTACTTTGTTTGGTTTTAATGCCCAACTAAATGTTTTCTCATTTGTGAGCTCGTATGGCACTCATAAACCACGAGTTTCGACCAGTTCCAAACAAAGTGTTAGCCAAATCACTGTTCTGATCTCACTTCAATGTTGTGACCCAGAAAAGCAATGACCCTTAGCACTTCCAAAACGTAATAAAATTACCCAAATTACTAACAGAATAATGTGCTCTAATTTTGATATCAAAATCTACAAATAATTAAAGCTTTTATGGTTGCTAGTGTTGACTACAAAACTAAATAGATAATACTGTTAACTGCTATCGATACGTTAACTACAAAATCGTTATTATTCCTACTTCTATCGATATTGTATCAGCTCTAATGAATGTAAGCTGTCTAAAACTTGTTTAAAGTATAGTTTATTTAGTCGAACGTGACCATTGAAAATGATATCCAAGAACTACCAAATATTATTATTTTTGAAATAAAACCTACAACATAAACAACACAGTTTCTGCTATCGATATTTTGTGCCAGCTCTGAATGATGTAATAGAGCTCAAAAAGTGACAAAACCTGTTGTAAATATAGTTGATGTGGTTAATTGGCACTTACCAAATGCAGGACGGTATTGACCACCTCCCGGTTGGTCACCTGGCCAACCTCGATGAGGCCGATGAGGACGGCGAACTTGAGATTGTCGGCGGTTGTCATTCTGACGATTTCGTCCGGCCGTTTGATCTCACTGTACGGCGGACGCATGATGTCCGCCATTTTGGTGCACGATTTGTGGTTCAGAATATTTTGTTTGTTTCACGGGTGTATATATTGTTAATTTGTTTATTTTAACGCGTTTAACATGCGATTTTTTGTTGGTTGTTTTTGGTTACAATTTAATTTTTTTTTGTTTTGTATTTGGTTTTTATTTATTTTTGTTTTGTTTTACATAAATTGAGTTATAGAATTAATGGATGGAATGCACACGAAAATACACACACACAGATACACAAATATATAATACATTTACATATATAATAGATATATATGAAGATGGTAATGCTATATATATATAAACAATTAGATATTGCCAGGCAATTGGAGGGGAGGAAAAAATTATTATTTCAAATTTTTAATTTTTTTGGCTGGTTTTTATTTTTTTTGTTTGCTATTTTGATTTCATTTCATATATGCATCATTTGTGTTGTTGCACTTTTCCAATTTTCATTTGTTGCTGTTGTTGTTGTGAAGCAGCTATATAGCTGTCGTTGCTGCTACTTTTCTGGCTCATATTGAGCCACTTTTTCCGTCGACACTTATCAAAATTTGTATTATTTTTTCATAATACTTGGTTATATATTATTATTTTAATTGCACACTTTATAAAAAAATGTATATATGTTTTTTTTTTTATTAATTTTGATTGAGGTTTTGGTGATTTTTGGTATGGTGGTTGTGGTGGTGACATACATAAAAGAAGAGAGAAAGAGAAATAGGTACATGAGTACGAATGCAACAATTCCGATATATTTGGGTACAGTGCGTTTCAGGGGCGCAGGTCAGTTGGTAGAAGGTCACAAATTTTTGCGATTTTTTCGCTCTTACTCTGACTTTATAACAAAAATTACTCAATGACAGATAATTTAAATTCTAGTTCTCCTTGTTGTGTGATTTATTCGAAAAGCAATTTTCGTTTATCATAAATTTCAATGAATAATAATAATGAATAATTTACTGCATCTGTTGAAATGTTATTTGTTTTGTATTCTTTTATTTATTCATGATAAAAGGTTATAAATTTATTTAAATTAATCGCCCCAGAACCACCTTACGGGCATGAAACGCAATGTACTGGTTTTGGTTTTTCCAAAATTAAAATGAGTAAGTACGTACAAATTTAAATTAAATTCTTATTTTACATATAATCCAACTACAAAGCCAAATTCTTAATATTCGTTTGATCTGCCATGGGTTAAGTTTCGGGGCGTTTGCGTTTTGTTTTTAAGGGGAGGCAGGTTGGTGGTTTCCAGGGGCGTGGGATGTGAGGGGCTCGGTTTGGACGGGGTTTTGGGGGTACGGGGAGGCATACACGTGCTTGATGAAGCAAATTTTCGTTCCATTATTCATTCACTTCTTGCCTGCTCACAGAGCAAAGTGGAAAATTGTCTGGGGAATTTATGTGCATTTATAATTTTCATTTTATTTGTTATCTCTTTCGTTTTTTTTTTCTGGTATGCATTATCTTGGCTGAACTGACTTGCATTACCTGCCAGCACGTTCTAAACCCAGATGTACATATGTAATACGACACTTAAGCGTATTTATCTATATGGAATTCGGCCATTGATCGATTTCATTAGCTTCTGCTTCTGCTTCTGCTTCTGTGGGTCAGTTGGCATTAATACTTTATATATAACCTATAGTTTTCTCGGTTCGTTACGCACCGACGATAAGACTGGGGTTAATGTCCCGTCGTGCTTAAGGTGCTGGAAAAACCATGGGAAACTGTCGAAGCCACGAAGTTCTAAACCGTTCAGCAAACACCACTGAACGGGGCTAGTAAAAAAGAAATGGCATACATACGTATGTATATACCGGCTGACACACCTGAAGAACAAGGTGTGCTTCTGATTCAGCTGGTGATGTAAAGGCTATAAAAGAAACGCAGCTGTGTTAAAAGAAAACTCTTCGAGGGGTTTTATTGTTAACAAGTCCAACAAGACGGGTATATTAAATAAGACACCGTTCCATTTGCAATTCAGTTTGGTTGGGGTTGAAATTATTTAACTGTCGAGTCTCAATCAAATAAGTTAAAATGTATAGCCATTTTCGTTGCTTTCACCAACTTATTGAACTAAAATATTCTATAGCTTACTACTTTAAAAAAATGTTCAAACAGAATATATTATATTCAAATTTGCAATACTTAAAATTACAAAAACCTTTTTAAAGCTATTTATACATGGTTATATTATAAAAATATATTCACTACTTTAACTCACTCACTAAGTTTTCATAATTTTAGTTTTGGTAATAAGTCGTAAGAAAGTGCTTGTGTGTTTTTTTTTTTTTTAAATAAATTGTTTAATATCTGCTCATCTTTTTTTTGTGGAAAAGGAAGGAAGTGAAGGTAATTTAATGGGGAATTTCTTTTGGGCTGACAAAAATGCAGTTTTACATTCTTCTACCATGTGCAAACTCTTTTTGTTTTAAATACACTTAAATTTTAATATATAAACAGTACGAAAACGAAGAAACAATGCGATACAAAAAAAACAAAAAGGCAAAGAAAAAACCGGCGTGGCAAAAAACAGGCACAGCAGCGCTGACTGGTTTTCTTATAACTTTTGTTTTCTTTTAATATTTCGTCGGTGGGTTCTACTTTTTTTGTTTAGATAGAGCAGGTGATTTTAATTTTTTTTTTTTTTTTTTTTTTTTGGTTTTTTCTATTTGATTTCGAGTTTTGCTTACGGATTTTTGAATGCGGCCACTTTGCTAATTGCACGTCAACAGAAAAAATTCCAATACGGAGAGCGAGTCTCATTGCTTTTCATTTGCTTTGCTTTTTGGCTGCTACCACTTTTTGTAGTTGTTATGTTTATGGCCAAATGAGAGGGGGAGAACCGGTAAGAGAGCGAACGAGAGAGGGAGCGAAAGAGAAGTTGGTAATTTCGTTACGAAATAAAGATGCAATGCCACTTGGAAATGAAAGTCACGCGTTCAATCGATCAAAAAGATCTGTGGAGCCGCATTTGTTTTTCCTCTATTTGTGGATAAAAAAAAAATTATTTTAAAACTTCCTTGAACTTACTAGGAATACGATCTGCAATTCTATTGCCTTTATAGCTAATAAGTTTAGTTTGGGATACTTATTTTCTAAATGTTTGAATAATTATATATGTATGTATATATGGTAGTGGCTAAAAATTGTGGTTATAGTTAAACACCTTGTTCTCTGTATCCAGCATTTATGTATATTATTACTAAATTTTTGATGTTTGCTTTTTATCACAGGTTTGACTAGTGTTTTTTTCTAAAAATTAATTAGTTTAATTTTCATATAGAACGTAGGGCCTTTGAATTTCGGCTAAGCCAGCTGAATTACCCCGTCATTTTGCCCACGTTCTCTCATTGTTGTTGTTGGTATTATCGTTGTTTTTTAACCAACTTATTGTTGGTGGTCGAAAAAGAGAGACAGAATTTGGTTTTGGTGGTGGCTTTTTCGGGAGAGGGAGGCGGAAGGTGGCAGGTGGACAAAAAGGGGGTGGCGAGGCGGTAACCCGTTTTGGACTGTTGTATTTGTATTTGCTTTTGTTTTTGTTTTTATTACAATTGCAGCAGGCGGGCATCTAATTATGAATTGCAGTCACGCCGAGACAAGTTTTCCCTTTGTTTTCCTGCTCTCGCGCTCTTTTCAGATTTTTTACTCTCTCGCGCTCTCTCCCTCTTCGCTTTTCTCACCTTTTTAGTGGGAAAAATCAATGAAACGCGAGAGAGAGCCGCTCTCTTGCTTTACCTACTCCCCCCTCCTTCTTACACTTCCTTGTTCATTTTACCACCCACCTTCGCTCTTTCTCTCTCTCTTTCTTCCTTCGACCAAAAAAAACGGACACACGTCGTCAGTTTGTTAACTTATTACACGGAGAAAAAATTGGAGCTTAATTTCTAATCTAAAACCGTTAATAATAAACATAAACCCCCTTTTAAAATACACATATAATAAAGAAAATTCTATTTGTTCATTATGCGTGCAAGCATTACACTATCCTTTTCACGCCGCACAATCTGTTTTTTTCAGCTCAAAAAATAATTATGCTTTAAAGAATGAAACATCAAAATAATATATTTAAAAACATTTTTTTAGATCTGATATTTAAAACTATATTTTAAATTCGTTCAGTGTGGCTTTTTTACCACAAACTCTCGCGCGCTCTCTCTCTCACTCGCTCTCTCGCAACATTGCGGCTTTTCTGCTTCTTGCCACTGCTACGATTTTTTTTTATCTTATTATTTTGCACCGCTTTGTTGGATTTTGTCATATTCCAATAAGCAAACACTGCGACACCAAAATGCTAATTGGCCCAACTAACCACATAACGAAACTAAACACAATCCCCAATTAATAGAAACTAAGTAAATATGTAAAAAAAAAACACTAAAATAACCAAAATATGAGCAAAAAAGTAACGTCATAAAGAGAGCGTAAAACTTTATATTTACGTTGTTTTTAGCCGCTTTCTGCCGTTGTTTTTAGTCTGTTTACTGTTGTTGTTTATTTTTTGTTGCTGCTGTTGCTTTTTTTTACCATTATTATGGTTGTTTTTGTCTTCACATACACAGTAAAAAAAATTGGCAAAAAAAATAATGAGAAAATAATACGCGGCGGGAGGCAACAAAATCTTGATTCATAAATTCAAAAACGCAACGTTCACGTAACAACAAAATACAACCATTTTTTTTGTTTACGTTGTGTTGTTCGCAAAACGAATTAATTGAATTATTTCACGTAATTCACCTCCGCATTTTAATTTTGTTTTATTCAGCGATTCTGATCAGCTTCTTCTGCTGTTTTTTTGATTCAGTTTTCTCGTTTAAGTTCTCTGTTTTTCGGTGTTTCTCGTTTACGTTCTCCGGTTCTCCGCTTTGCGTTTTCTCCGCCTCGAATTTATTATTTTGAAGCACTTTTCCGAGACCTTTCCCTTTTGCTTAAAATCCATCAGCTTCAGGACATCCTGTACTAAGCACCAAAATCGAGTCGCCGTTTCGTTTCAGCAAAATTCAAGCCGCAACGGCAACGAGAAACGACGTCCGAACGGCGAAACGTGAAGTTTTTGTTTGAATTTGAATCTGAGCGGAAAAGGAAAACAGAAACCAGAAACAGAAAGCAGCCGAGACAGAATCGGCAGAAGAGAAACGAAAATGATGAGAGGAAGAGAGAGACTCTGTTAGTTAACATTCAGCGCAAAAACGTGGAACTAACTAACATTTCTTAACGATGAAGGGAAAAAACTTTATTTACAGATTCGAAAAACTAGGATTCTAACAGCCGATGGCGAAATTCCCTTTAATTTACTTTTCCCAACACTGATGCTCATTGCTTCGGTTCTTTGGTTCTGAATCTAACCAAACATCTGCTTTTCGTCGAATTTTTGGAGTTGAATTGATTTGGTTGCTAAAAATACTAATTAACTTATACTTACTTTCACTTTTATTTTTCTATATGTATATATTAATCAAATAAGTTCATATTTATAATGGAGTGTGAAAATATTTAAATCATTAAATATTAAAATATTATAATTCAAAGATTAAAAAAATGTTTCTTTATGATTATAATGGCTTTTAAAACGAACTAAATTTCTTCTTTAATAATTTATGTTAATTATAAGAACAAGAGGAAGATGTACTGGAATATTAAAGAGAATTATTCATTATTACTTATAAAAGCTAACACACCAATTTCCTCAGGTCGAGCCCAATAATTCGAAAGTGCGCTACCACCTTCTTTGGGTGAGTCTAAATTTCAATATCTTCGATTATTTGAACACTAGAGGTGCAGAAAAATTTTTCATGTAAAAATTAAGAAAATATTCATAGCATCCTCTAACAAAAAGTTGAGATCCAGTTCATATTTTATATAACAAAAAAAAATTTTTTTATACCGTTTTCGGTTTGAGAGCGGCGCGTTTTTTTAAATAATGAATCCATACTAAATATGTGCTCTGACTCAGTACAGAAAGTTGGGAAGCACAAATGGCAAAGAGAACACTTCTTTAAAAACTCCATTTATTTATATTTATTTTATTTATAATGTACAAAAAAATGCAAGTCGCTAGTGAAAATATCTTAAAGCATTAGATCCAGTTTTACAACATATTTATTAAAGCAAATTAAATCAAACAATTCGAATTTCAAAATCATCGTTTTCCTAACGGCTCAATTATCGTTTTCCCAATCAGAAATGTTAAATCATCGTTTCCTAACATTCCTATGTTAAATCATAGGATATGAAAGAGCTCTCGCTGTGACAGGGAGAGCCAGCCAAATACTTCGGTAAAAAGAGAACGAGTTGAGAGCGAGCAGGAGACTTCGGCAAAAAGAGAATGAGGGAAGAGAACCGATTGAATCGGCCATTTCGAAAAAGCAACCAAGAGAGCCTGCAAAACACAGAATAAATTTTGCATCATGAGTAATAATACGGTTGTTGATTGAAATCGAAATTGGAAGAGAAGAGGAAGAGCGAATTGTGTTACTCTCTCCTTCTTTTTTGCGGAGGCATTCTCTTTTTGGGGAGCACTTTAATCTCCAAGAACTCCAAAATGTTATGTCCAATCGGTAACAACGGTTAACATTCTGTTAATTAATTATTTTTTTAATCACATATTATGTACATTAGAATAAGTTAATATCTGTAAAATGAGCTACTTAAAACCAATTTAATCGACCCACTTGCAAGTTAATATATTTTACGCTCATAATTTTACCAATTTTAGTCCGAAGTTAGTTAGTTCTCTGTTTATCTGCATATATTGTTTTGTATTAATTTATTTTAATAATAATATCAATATAATTTTGAATACTGTTTTCAAATTATTCAATGAAGTTTTTTTTACCAGAGCTTAGCTTAGCTTACCTTAGATCTTCAAAGCTAAGATTGGAAAAGTATATAAAGTATTCCTATATTTAAACTTATTTAGTTTCGTTTAGTTTAGTTTTATATTGACGTTATAAATCGTGCATCATGAAAAAAAAACCAAAATCTCCAAAGTTTTTAAAACCCGGAATATCAAATGTTAAATTTTCTCTCGCAAATGGGAGAGAGCTCTCTCCCGACTTTCTCTTGAACAGCTGGTCGAAGGGAAATTTTTGCCGGGGCGCACGTATTACAGTTTTTCAAAAAATTAAAAGCTGTCCGAAATAAAGTGAGAAATGCAAAAATTAAAATAACAAAAGTTATACCTTGTTTTGGATTGCAAATTATTAAGTTTTATTTTTTTGTCGGAAATTAATAAACAGAACATCAAGAACAAGTGACTATTTATGGAAACAATAAATATCATTAAATCAATTTTGTTCTCTGTTTCAACTTTTGAATCGAAAAATAATGTTATTTATTCGATGTAAATGTTCGGGTGCAATTAAACACAATTTTTAAAATATTTCGATTTAAATACAAATTGGTTTATTGCATTAAAAATTAAATTGAATCAATTAAATTTTCCTGGTTCTTAAATACTATAAGTTGGTTTAAGTAGCAAAAAACACATATTTTTGTGCTATCTGTATATTTTTATAACATTATATTTAAGCTGTATTCCAATTGTTTAAAGTTATTAACTTCACTGCAAGCGTTCAACTAATATGTACATTTTTGTAAAAATTCCTATATATCCAATGTGTGAGAGTGTCCACATCCGCCTTATGTTAAAGTTTTTTTTTTAACCAAGCTAAGTTATAAGTAAAGTTCACTAAGTAAACTCATTATCAAAAAATATTTTTGAAAGTACTAAATATATAAAGTATAAAGTTTAATTTATATATAATGCTTAATTTAAAGAGTTGGATATAGACAACCGTTGTGGACCAAACCTCTTGGTTCTAAATACTATAACTGTTACCAATTTTTGCTCGATTTTTCCGCACAGGTAAGTTAACTAAGCGATTCAAATTTAAACGGTCGAATTTCAAATTCAAATTCTATCCGAGGTCATTGAAAAGACTATCGATAAATCAAGTGATGGATAAACATCGATTATGACACACTGATTTTAGCGCACTTGCGTTTAAAATAATTGGAAAATTTATTCAGGTGAAAAACCGAATAATTAAAAAAACCTTGTTCAAAATAAGAATTTAAACGTCACCTTTAAACAAAAAATATCGAAAATATCATGCCGATAAATAAAAACTATCCAAAAAAGACCAACCATGTGTTGATTTGGTATTTTTAATGTATTCGATAACTTTAGAGGTATTTTGGTTTAATTTCTAATGGTATATTTCAACCGTTAGGCCTTGGTCACATTTCCAACCTTTAAGTTTAGTTTCGTAAAAAAAACCTCAAAACAAAACAAAAAGGCGATAAAACGCAATCAAAGCAACATTAAAAAACCGAACAGAAGGCAACCAGTGATATCTAAACCCAATTGTATTGCACACACACACGAAGAGAAACATAAATGTGATGTTTAGTGTGAGTAAAATCCAATGAAAAAGCCAAAGGAGTGTGCGTGTGCGCTTGTACGTGTGTGAGTGCGCGTGAAGTGCGAACAAAGTGTGAAGGGGAAAAGCGAAAAAGAGCGGTGCCAGTTAACAAATATAAACAATTAAAAGATTTATATATTATATGTAAATATGTAATATATATTTTTCAACTAGTTAATAATAGGAAAAGGCAAAACAAAAGAACTAGTTCTCTTCTATTTGATTGTGTGTGTGCGTTTGTGGGGGAGAGCGTTTCCAGCTGCCTTTGTGTGTGGATTTATTTTATATTATTTTATTGTTCGGATATTCTTTAACCCTTGTTAGCCCTTTTTTTGTGGAAGTGTGTGTGCGTGTGTTTTCAACCCCCAAAATATGTTACCCACCCACCGCCCACCACCCGGCAAAAAATCACTGAGCAATAAACCACCCACCGCCCCCCAAAAAAAAAAAAAAAAAAAGAAACGAAGTATTTCCCACTGAAAATTTTCTTCTTCCAAGGTGATGATGTCTTCTTCTTCCTCATATTCCTCTTATTTCCAGGAGCAGCGCACGAAAAAAGGGAGAAACAAGAGAGAGAAAGAGAGAGCAATTCAAAAACTGTCGAAATAAAACGGCTTCTCCGCCTCTCGCCCCATCCCTTTCATTTCCCCACCTCCCGCTGCGAGCGCCAACACACAGTGGGGCGTCTAAAATAATTTTCGAGACGAATTGGCCAGTTTTTAAATGTCTGCCATGATAAATTTTAGCAACAGAATATACTTCACAAAATGTAAAAGTAATTTTTTTTTTGTAAAGAAAATTCGAATTATTAATTACAAGAGGCATTCCAAATTTTGAAGCCGTTTTTGTCCCACTGTGCATCGCATGACGCTCAACCACTGAGGCGATTGCCTTCTCTGTCGCACACACGCAATGCGCCTTTGGTCCATCCTTCTCGCTCGCGCCGCCTGCCTTTCGTTGTGTTTCTTTTGTGCCTATTTCCGCTTGTTAGGTCAGCTCTCCCCTTCGCTCTCCTCCCAACCCCTTTTTGTGCTCCCTTTTTGGGCTCCAAGTTCTGGCAGTCCTTTAAGTATAGTGGCGAGCAAAATAATAGCAGATGTTCTGACTAAAACAAAATGTATTTTAAGAATATAGCATTTTGTACATTTTGTTTTTTAAGATTATAATATGTATAAATCATATGATAATTTTTTTAACTCAGTTAAATTCGTATGCAAACAACAAGTTTAAGTTGTAAAATCACGAGGTTTTGTATACTCAGGATAAATAAGAATAAAAATCACAATTTTTAGTTTGTTTGTCTGTAGATCAGATACTGATGTTCAAAAAATTGTACCTTATTAAAAATAATTTTGTTATTTTGACACTTTGAATATTTATTGTTCTTAAATTGCTTTAAAAAAAAAAGAAAACTTAGTAAACAATTTTGTTAAAAAATAAACATATTTTTTTGCGGTATAATAAATTATAATTTTTTCAAAAACCTGCTTACACTATTTTGTTGGTCACTATTGTATATATTTTGTTTTGTGTTTACATGAGAATAATGTTGTGTGCCAGTGGGTGTGTGTGTCTAAACAAGGGTAAAGCAAAGGCAAATAAAAGGCAAAAGGAAAGGAGAAGGACAAGAACTGAACTGGAAGGGGTCATCAAGAAAAGGGAAAAAAGTAAGGTTGTTTTTGTGTGACGACCCAACCAAAAACCAATTAACTTTTGAATATTGCGCAAAATTGCGCGCCTTACGCTTGTTAACCAACACTGACCGTCGAATGCAACCCTGCCTAAACTCACGCACACAGAAACGCTGAGACCCAGGGAGGCAAGAATCCCACACAAGCAAATGTTTTTTTGTTATTATTGAACAGCAAAGAACAGTGCAGAAAAAAACGAGCTTACGAATCTGAAAAGCAAAGCGAGTGTGTGGAAAACGGCAACAACAATAAGCGGAAGGGAAAGCAGTAAGAAAATTTATCGCGGGGGAGCAAAAATCGTCAAAGGAAGAAGCAGAGAAGGAAAGTAAGAAGCAGCGCAGCCGCTAATTGTCGCGTCTTTGGTTGTTGTTGCTGCCTTGCAAAAAACCGAAAATGAAATGGGAAAGAACAAGCAAATAAATAAAATACAGCAAAATTTATTTATTAACGAAAAAAAACAAAATATAGACTAAATAGTTACAACAAACTAAAGAAACGAAGAAGAAAACAGCGGTAGAGGAAAAGGCAAAAAGGAGAAAACCCGAAAAGGTCAAAAAATGTGAGCAAAAGAGAGCGAGAGAAAGAGAGGAAGAAACCTCCCCCCCCGAAAAAACCGAAAGAAAAATGGAGCAGAAGTGAAAAACCTGTGTGTGTGGGGGGGAAAAGCTAAAATTAATTTTTTGTTTTTATTTCCAAGGCGCGCGTATGTGTGTGTGTGGGTGGAAAATCCGATTTCGTAAAACGCATTTAATTGTTAATAACAAAACGTGGGTGTAATTTACATGATTTTTCTACATTATTCACAGTTAGTAAGCAAACTGCACAAAAAACGCAAAAGATGAAAGCAAATCAATAATAATAATAACAAAAAAGGAAAGGAAGAACGAGCAAACAAGAGAGGAGCAAAAGTCAATGTGTGCGTGTGAGAAAACAAAAAAAATAAATTGTTAATAAAAATGTGGAAATCAAGCAAGAAAACAACAACAAAAGCTAAAGCAACAACAAAAACAGCAAGGAGCAGTGCTGCTAGCAGCGACGTCGACGTCAGCGTCGCCGCATGGAAAGCCCAAAAAACCGCATGACAAGGAAATGGAAAATTTTTGTGCAGCCCCAAAAACCAAATGTGAACATAAAAGAAAGTCAAAAAACGAGGCGTTGAGCAAGAAAAAAACAAAACAAAACATAAAAAAAACGTTTGTGTGCGTGTGTTTTCCAATCTAAAAGAATAATAATAATAATAATAACAGCGAAGGAAGAAGCGGCATTAAAAAAAAATATATCAAACCAGGAAGCAAAAAAATAAAAGGAAGAAGCAGAATACAAGAAATAATAACTAAAGACGAAGCACAGCTAAACATTTTTTGGAAGAAGAGGCAATTATAAAAACATAAATAAATGTATTTAAAATTGCCGCAACGGGAAAGATAATATTTAAAAATATTTTTAACACAAGCAGCCGCAAAAAAATAAAAGAAAAGAAACGGCAAGCCGCCATAAAAATATTTAAAAAGGGATCAACGGATCTTGATTTTAAAGTAACACAAGAAGCAGCACCTTTGGCAGCTAAACACAAGATTAAATGTAAGTATACTTTAAAAATCTGCGAAATTTACTTTATTTTTTATACATTTGTCTTAAAAATTGTATTTTCCATATCATCTATAAGGAAAAAAAACTTATCTTTTAATAAGGTCCCATTAAAATGTAACATCTTAGAAGATTTATGTCATTAATTTTTGAAATACTTGTTCTATATAAATGACCTTTATTTAACCAATACCTGGAGAGTCGTAAAACTTATATATTTTTTCTATTTTCCAGATAACACAATATAATACATAGCCGAACGATCCGTGAACTCATTGTAAGCAGCTTTAAAGAAAGTGAGTTTGAGAACATGACTTGACCAAAAATAGGATATTTCTAACACTTTTTATGAATTGCAGATATAAAACCTGTAAAATATACATAATATAATATAATAGTATACCGCTGCCATGGCCAGCAGCGCGACAAACGTCGACGGCGGCAGCGGGACGTCGGCGGCGCTGCCATCGCTCTTCCCCGCCGTCGGCGCCGCTGCCGGCGTCAAGGATATGGACGGACTGATTGCCATTAACGATAGCGCCCTATCGCAACAGATCGAATTTATACTGCAGGATGCTCCCATGGAGCAGGACGACGATCCTCACCAGAATTCGCATTCGCATGTGCATCACCATCATCAGCACTCGCATCATCATCCCCACTCGCATTCGCATCAGCAGCAGCATCTTCATCAGCAACAGCAGCAGCAGCAGCAGCAGCAGCAGCAACAACACCATCATCCGCATCATCAACTGAAGCTGGAGAACAGCAGCAACAACCACCCACCGACAGCAGCAGCAGCAGTGGCAACAACTGCAACAGCCACTGTGGCAACAGCAGCAGCATCAACCAACAACAGCGCTTCCTTTAGCAACAACAACAGCAGCAGCAGCAGCAGCACCAACAGCAATAGCAATAACCTCGAAAACCAGCAACAGTTGCTGATCCAGCAGCAACAGCAGCAACACCATCTTTTAAATGGACGCCGCATTATTATCCAGGCTACGGGTAACTCATCCGTTTTGGCGGCCAGCGATATCAAAGAGGAGGACGACGAGGAGGAAGATCCCGAGTTAAATGATGAAAATCTACAGGATATCGAGGAGGAGGCCCAAGCAGCCGAGGCGGACGAGGAACCGGAGAGCACAACGCAGCATTTGTCCACACAGGTTAAGCTGGAACTGGAAGACGATGAGGAAATGCCCGACGAGGAGGAGGAAGAGGATGAGGATGATGACGATGAGCAGCATGCGCAACTGGAGTACCAAATAAGTGCGGCACCGCAATCGGGCGGAGCGACAAGCAGTGCCGGTGGCGGCGCAACAGCCGGTGGATCACAACAATTGGTTCAACTGCCCGCCGGTAGTATTGTGAGCACCACCACCCACCGATTGTCGGTGCCCGTGACCGAGGCGGCTCTTGTCCAACTGCAGCGACGACCTGTTTACATAAGCAACGCTGTGGGTGGCTTAACCGCCGGCACAACGTATGTGAGAATGCCAGCGGCGGCGGTCATCAGCCGAAGTCCCATGACGGTGCTGAATGTGGTGCAACAGGCCCTGCCGGCCACCCAGTTGATATTGCAAACGCAGCAACAACAAACGCCGGCGGCGGAGCAGCAATTGGCACTGGCATTGGAACAGCAAAGGCAGCAGCAAGAGCAGCAGGCCCAGCAGCAAAGGCAGCAGCAACAAGAACAGCAACGGCAACAGCAGCAGCAGCAACAACAGCAGGCGCAACAAGAACAGCAGAGACAGCAGCAGCAGCAGCAGGCACAGCAGCAGCAGCAACAACCACAGCAAACCCATTCAGTGAAGCATTCAGCATCCAGCTCTTCCGCCACTAGCAACAGCAATACAAACACAAACTCCACCAACAGCAGCAACAGCAACAACAACAACAACAACAATAACGCTCCGGCGTCTAACGTGACCACCAGTTACCAATGCGTAGAGTGTGTGGAAAAGTTCGATTCCAAGGAACTCTTCGACATCCATCGCAGTGGACATGCCAATAACATGAAATGCGCCATTTGCAACATGGTGCTAAAGTCTCTGAAGAACTACGAGAAGCACTGCCTGCGCTGCAAGCCGTACGAGTGTCAGATTTGCGGCAGAGTCGTCCGTTTCCGGCCAAACTTCATCAAGCACATGCGTGTGCATACGGGGCAGCAGTCGGAGCGACACAAGTACAAGTGCGAGGTGTGCCACAAGGAGTTCATGAGCTTCGAGTACTTCAAGGTCCACAAGAAGATCCACAACGAGAATGTGAATCTGACATGCGAGATATGCGGAAAGGTGTTCAGTGCTCTGGCATCGTTGCGAGGGCATTCGAAGCTGCATTCGGGCGTCAAGCTGCACAAGTAAGTGTTGTTAAATATATATCTATTTTACATGTTGTCAAAAATATTGGTGCGAAATTGTATGATTACCATTTGGCAAAGGGATTTTTTTTTTTGATTTCCACATTTCTTTCAATATTCAATTAAAATGGATTATTAGAAATTGCCGAATGTTTATTATTATAATTTAAAAAACAATATACTCATTGTTAAGCAATACTTTTCGGGTTTTGTTTTGATAAATTTAATAGAATTTTACTTTGTACTTTTTTACCTTTTAAGAAACTTGTAAGAATTTTACTATTAATTCTATATACATGTGCAAGACTTTTAAGCTTATTAGATTCCATGAAAAACATGTTGTTAAAACATATTTTGTTGCTTTTGAAAAATGGTTTCTAAAACAGAATAGGTATGTCCTTTTTTTAAGCGAAGCCAAACGTAATTTGTATGTTGTTAGCTTATTATTTAAAGAAATTAATTAATTTAAAACTTTTTATTATTTTTTACTAGAAAAACTACATAACAACCATACTAAATCTTATCATTTCATATCCTTTTAGATGTGACGTATGCGGCAAGGGCTTCGGGCAGAGATATAACCTTAAAATCCACGCCAGGACGCACACGGGTGACTTCCCCTTCGAGTGCAAGATCTGCAAGAAGAAGCTGCACACGCAGTCCTCACTGCAGACGCACATGCAGGTCCATCTGAGGGATCAACCGGCAGCCGCTGCAGCAGCTTCGACAGCCGGAGCAGCCTCCTCGAAGGCTAGCAATAGCAGCAATTCGAGCAACAGCAGCAACTCCAGCAGCAGCAATTCAAGCAGCAATAGCGGAACGGTGGCGACGTTGGCGTCTTCGGCGGTGGTGGCAACAACGATTGTCAAGCTGGAGCCACCGCAAGAGATGGAGAGACCCGGGACGAGCAGCAACCACCAGCTGCAGCAACTGCAGCAGCAACACCATCAGCACCAGCACCAAATGGAACTGGACGAACAGTCGGGACTGAGCGGAGATGACGAGGATGGCAGCGGCGGCGGTATGAACTCCTCCTCGCACATTGTTAATGCAACCACCAATCGCTTGACCACCGGCGAGGACTCATCGGAGTCCTCGAATGCCTCGCTACACCTGAACCAGCACTCCTCCACCTCATCCTCGCCAGCCTCGCAGCACCAAATGTCACAGCAGCAGGTGCAACAGCAATATCTCGTTTCGGCGCCCACGCGTACGATTGTCATTAAAAACTACATGCAGCAGGGATCCCATCAGCAGCAGCAGCAGCAGCAGCAGCAGCAACAGACCTCCGATCCAACGCCCGTGCTGCATGCCCAGGTCATCCAGAGCGGTGCAGGCACCAGCAACGGCAGCGGCAACAACTCCTCCACCACCAACAGCAGCAGCATAAGCAGCAACAACAACAACAGCAGCAGCAGCAGCAGCAACAACATCAGCGGCAATCTGAGCAATGGCTCGCAGTTGATACGAAAGACGCCCATCATTCATCATTCAACCAACAGCAGCGGTGGGTCAGCGCTGACCAGTGTGGTGCAGCAGACAGGTGGTGAGTGGTTTCGTGTTTTTTTTTTCAAGGGGTTCATTTTAAGTTGGGGAACCAGCTAGTCGTAAATTTATAAGTTAAAAGGGTTAATTTCTTATCAGGAGGTTGCTCTTGAGTATGTAACAGGTAGAAGGATGGTTAAATTATATATATTTTTAATCAGGTTAACTAGTTGAGTTCGTGTGAATGTCATATATAACAATTATATATATATATATATATAAATATATATTAATTAATGAATCTTATTCATCTTTCAGTTATTTCGCCCGCTCAGTCGCCATCGTCATCCTCGACCTCCTGCTCCTCATCGACGGTACTGGTGTCCAAGGCCACCGGTGTGCCCCTATCCATTGCTTCCTCGGCAGCGGCTGCTCTCGGAGGCTCCACGATTATACGCAGCACGAGGAACCACCAACAGCAGCAGCAGCAGCAGCAGCAACAGCAACAGCAAGCCCAACAACAACAACAGCAGCGGGTAACGCAGCGCAACAACCACCGAAATCACCACCGACGTCGTCATCTGGCGGACATGGATGACGATGAAGATGAGGACGATGATCAGCAACAGCAACAGCAGCAGCAGCAGCAGCAACAGCATACGCACCAAACCCAACATCAGCATCACCATCATCACAATCATCATCACAACCATCACAATCATCACTTCGATGACGATGATGACGATGAGAAATCATCACCGTCCCTGGCCACTGCGGCCATAATCAAAGTGGAACCGAATCTATATTCCTCGGGCTCCGGCGACAATTCCAACGATATGTTCATCAAGGAGGAGGTGATGTTTGAGGATTCGGCTGCCCTGCATTCACCACAGTCGCCGCCTAGCTCGAAATTCCGTATCTCGAACTTTGATAGTGATTTGGTTGATCATCATGTGGATCTGAATCATTCGCTGCCGCCGTATGGCAATCTATTTGAACCGCATTCGATACCAGATAGCATCCCAGTGCAGCTATATCCCGACGATGACGATGACTTCCGGCTGGACCATAGTTCGCTGGGTGGACTGCACAACACAACGTCATCGTCGACCACCGATGGGGACTTTATCAAGAAGGAATGGGTCTACGGCACCGGCACCAGTTCCTATGCCATGAACGGCAAGTTTGATGACGACAGCGATGCCCTGTGCGATGCGGCCAACTTCATTTACAATTGAGTGCAGGCATCCGCTGCCGTTGTGGTGGATCATCGTCATCGTCATTGTCATTTCAAACGAAAGAGGAATCCGCGTCGTCCTGTGAAGCAAGATCAGGAGCAGGAGCAAGAGGAGGAGCAAGAGGAGGAGGACGACGAGGATCAGCAGCAGCAAAAGGTGGAAAAGCGGAGCATGGATGAGGAACAGGAACAGGAACTGGATCATCAACGCAATGTCCTGCGCCGCGTCCACGATGCAGCCATGTGGAGCTGAGAATTCGGTTAACCCAGATTCATAGCTGTACCACATATATGTTTTATATATGTTCCAAACACCCCTTAGAACCCCCCTACATATACCATATAACCCGACACCACACCACACACAAAACACAACCAAGAGGGTGAATCGATTTGCGTAGGGTGCAAAAACCTATTCATGAACAATTCTAACTAATTTCGCTGTAAAAACTTTGGAGCTAATAACGTTTTTGAGCTTGAGTTGTTCGAAACCGAAAATGGTGCAAAAAGAAACAGGAAATATTTACTTTTTTGTGAAGGTATCAGTAAAATGTGTAATTTATGTTTTTAGCATATAAATTCAAACTATTTGGGCTTTAAAACCGTCGATTTTAAAGGAGTTTTAGTTTTGAGTGATTTATCAGCTGGTTTTAAAATATCTGGTATTATTCAAAAGAAAAATATGTACCTTTTTTTTTTCTAAACCCAGTTTAAAACTTTTTCACCAATTTGATTGTAAAAATTATAGAACTAAGATTACATTTTGACCCACCCAAAAGAAAGGAAAATTGGGTTTAATTTTGGTTAAGTAGAAATGTTCGATTAAGCTTAACAATAATATTAGAACTAAAGTTTCCAAGGCCAAATTATTTAGAATTATCCATACAAGACTCTTCTTAATTGTTTTTTTTTTTTATTTTGCAACGCTAACAGGTCGAGCCACCCTAATATATATATACTATAAATGTTACTAGTATATATAGTACACATACTTATCCTATATGTCCACCATATAGATAATTTGCTATCTCTGTTGCGCTCGTGATGATCTTACAACGTGATCTTAAGTCTAAATCAATGTGTAAAATGTATGTTTTGATTTAAACTCGCTTCCTTTCGAACTTTTTCTCCCAGTGTGTAATTTTTTCCGTTTCCGTTTGTTGTAGTTGTTTATCATGTCTCTCGCTCGCTCACTCTGTGTGTGTCTCTGTCCCTGTTGCTCTCGTGTTCCCACTCTCTCTCTTTCTCATTATCCCTCTCTGTCTCACCCAATCTGTTTATAAAAATTGTATACAATTTTCGCCCCACTTTTAGTGTAAAAAAGAAGAAAATCTCAAATGAACTTGTAACTTGATGTGAAACACGAATTGTTTATTATAAGTTTTTATTTTTACATATCATTGAAATTTGTATTTCATGCCACTTTTATATGAAAATCTCTGTTCTAACTTTCCGTCTGGCTCAGCACATTGTATTTGTCTATTGCGAACCCTAATTTTAGTTGTATAGTTTTGCATTTGATCTCTCGGCTTTAGTTTTTGCATTCAAAACGAAAGAAAATTAAGTTCCTGTGTAATTGCAAAGACAACTTGAGAAATTGTATTATATTTTAAAGGACTAGGCAATCGATGTGCTGTTTTTATATGGAAACCATATCTCTCTAACAGTCGAGGATCCTACAGTATTGGCTCCCAAAACTGAATCAAAAAAAAGAAAAGGAAATAAGTAAAAACTGCTTTAATTTAGCTTACTGCTTTTTTTATTTTTGATTAACACCTTGTTTTCACTTACCTTAAGCGCAGTATTTTGTTTCATTTAATTCGAGAATGCATATATATTTTTTGCTTAGTTAGTTTGTTAAGTGATAAGGATTTTTTTTAATATTTTTTAAAAGCAGTTCTAATGTGCAATCTCCCACCCCCCCATCACTGAAATTTGACCTCTCCCTCACCTTCGCTCGAACACCTTGTGGTTTCCTTAATTAGTGGCTAAGTACCCAAGATAAACACAAACACACGAATACAAAAAACACCCACACGATATATGATTATGATTTGCATTACTATATACATACTATAGATTATCTGTAGCTAATTGTAAGCCTGATTTTTGTGTAGTCTTAAAGCTGGACGAGCATGCTTTAGCTTTAGCTTTACCCTAACATACGAAACTGCATAAGCATACGAATATATAATATATATAGCCGCTGTACAATTACTTGACCTTTAGCATTAACACTTGAAAACTTTTAATTTGCATTTACACCAACGTTTGTTTGTGTATTCTTTTCGTTTTTCGAAAATTAAAATGTATCTAAAACATACATATATGCGTATATATATATATATATATATATATACATATATATATATAGCCATTAAATATATATATATCTGGAGGGGGAATCGGATACAATAAAGGAGAAAAAAGAATCCACGTAACAAAAACTTCTATCAAAAGCATTTAATGTTACCAACATAATGAATAAAAATCTATATAAATTAATTAATTAAATTATAAATGTATAACAAACAAGTTAGCCAACAATTGTAAAACGTAGCTGAAAGAGTTCACTTTTTTTTTCTGTGTATAGCATGGAAGGAAAAGCATATTTAACCGATTTTTCGTTCATTTTTTTAGGAGTTTTCGTTTTGCTTTTTTGTGCTTAATAATAATACTTGTTGTTGCTTGCCATTTTGTTTGTTACTAAAAAATATATAACAAGAGCCGTTAATCATATAAACACAAAACACTCACACATAGACACGTGGAAAAGCTCAAAGAAAAAAACGCGCAAAGAGAAAATGTTTTTGTTTTCCAAACGAAAAAAAACATTGATAACGGATTTGTCTTCCGCACGAGTTAAAAGTTCAATTTGAACGAGGTACAAATTTCCAGTTGATTAAATCGATAATCTGTTCAAGAAATCGATATATAGTAGATAAATTCGATAACCAGTTGATAAAAACTTTGGTCCACCCCGTTTCCACCCTCTTTTCGGGTAACCCCAGCAATTCAAACCAGTTTAAATTCCGATTTGAGCGGTGTACAAATTACGAGCTCTCTGAATCGATGACCCGTTGATAAATTCGATAGCCACCCTTTTCCACTCTTTTTCGGGAAATTTTAGGAAGCAATAAAAACGAGACAAAACAGGTGGGAAAAACCTCGCGGAAAACCTCTCGGAAAAACTCATCGTTCACTGCCCCACACGCCTTTTCTCACTCCCCTTTTCAGTACACTGAGAGCAAATAAGTGAAATTTGAAAAAAAAAACACCAAAATCATTTCAGTTACACCAAAAAAAAAAATCGAGGAGAAAAGCGAATTTTTGTACATTTGCAGAGAGAAAAAAAGGAAATATTGTAAGATTTAATACATCCAAAACCAAAATCCAACAAATACTATTTTATATACCAAACAACAAAAGGATAAAAAAAACGATGATTAACAAAAACCCAACAACTTTGCACCACAACAACAACAACCAACTAAATTTTTAAAAATTTAATCTCAACGACTGCGCACACAACAAACAAATTTTTTGTATTATATTGAAAAATAGAAAGAAAAAAACAAAAAAAAAAAAAACGTAACTTTAATTAAGGTCGAAAAGAACCGGGTGAAGCGAAAGATAGAAAGCAAAGTGAAATATTTTTTTAAGTGTAAACCAGGCCGGTCAAAAGGCTTGGACGCCAAATTTTCTGCAATAAAAAATATTTAATAAAGTAATATTGTAAACTTTATAGTGTACACATACAAAACAACTTGAATTAGGAACGAAAAATGGATATATACTTGTAAAGCCAAGAACAGTCCAATTAAAAACACATTCACACAAATTAAATGTGGTTTAGTTGTCGTCTTTTTTTTTAACATAAAAGTACCTAAAAATCAAATAATTGAGAAGAAAAAATTAATAAAAACTAATTTCTATGTGTCTCCCCTTGTGTGTAACTTTGCAAATTCTAAATTCTCAAAACCAAACTAAAAAAACAACATAATCATATTAACACAAGAAAAAAACAAACAAATTAAAATTAAAAAAAAAAATGTAACTAAGCAAAAGAATAATTATTTTTAAAGGGAAATCAATTTGTTATGCACAAAGTATATATGCAGAAAAGCCAACTTTTTAAGTTACGAATTTGTTAAAGGATCTAAAGATTAGAAGAAAACCCGACTTTTTAAAGCATTTTCGAGAAATATTGAGAAAAAAACCGAACAATTTCAATCTGAACAACAACATAAAGCCCACGAAAGTATATATATTATATATAAATAAAGGTAAATAAATATATTTAAATAAATTATCTATAAACAGAAACGGTAAAGTAAATTAAACAAATCGTATTTATACACTATGAATGTCTAGTCGTATTTTCAGTATTATGTAAACCGCTCCTCCCTTTTTCCTCCCCCCCAAAAAAAACACCGTAAAAATAAAAAAAAAACACTAGAAAGCTAAGCTAAATGAATGTGAAATGAAAAAAAAAAAACAAATTTTTGAAAATGCAAACTAAAATTAAAAATAAAAAAAATAAACCAGAAATTATGTGTGTAGCGTGTACAATAAAACAGAAATAACAAAATATGGTAAACAATTTTTAGAAGCATTTTTAACACATATGAAAAACCAAACTTAACGTTTACATAACGACGATGAAGTGCAAGCGCAAAAATTAAACGAAATGTGTCTGTTTTTAGTGTTAGACTTGATGTAAGCGAAACCACAATAAAAAAAAGAACATAACAAGAATTCATATATATATATATATATATATATACAGATATATATATATATATATAAACGAACAGAAGAGATTTTCAGAGGGAAAGTGTGTTTCAAAGTCCGTTCAACATTATGTTCTTCATTTGTTTTCGGTGCCCTGACATAAATCTCCCCGATTGATAGGTTTATTACGATTTTAATTGCCTAGAAAAAAGGTCCATAGCATCGGGTACGACCATATAAAATAAAAAAAAAACTATTGGATTAGGGTTCTATGTCAGGGCACTGGTCACGTGTATAAATCGCGTGTTGTATGTATCTAAAAATATCTATATTTTTTTATTACTCTTAGTTTTTGTGTATAAAAAATGCAAATGAAAAAAAAAAATAAGTATGTTTAAATGATTTAATCTTAGTGCATAATTTTATTAACCATTATAATTTCTCATTTTAAATAGTAAACATTTAATGGATCTTTATTTCTTAATTTAACACAAACAACAAATGAAAATATATATTTTGTCAGAGTAAATTTTGTGTTTTGATTTATTAACGTTTTACTTTTATTCCCGGACGGGTGGTTCATATCAGATATAAAGTATACATCTATCTGTATAGATATCTATATGCGTATAGTAATGTAAAGAGAGTTGTGGAAACGAAAATTAAAAAAATTTAAAATTGGCGCAATTTGCTCAACATATTAAAGGAAGATACAACTTACAAAAAAAATAAGCATCACATTTCAAAACCAGTTATTTTCCCTGTTTTCCCATTTTCTTTATTTAATAGTGGAAATTTTAAAGAATTTAGTTTAACTAATAAAAATGAAGTAGCCGAAGCAAAGCCATTAAAACTACTCGAAAAAATTAAATAAAGAACAACAAACACATATATTCAAATTCATGATAATAACAGAGAAAATTAAAAAAAATATACGCATAAAACCGAAAAGAAACAAAAAACAATCTAGTTTTTATTGTAATTCCGTGTCTATGTGTGTATTTCAGTAATTAATGTAAAGAAATATAAAAATAAAAACAAACAAAAAAAAATACAAAAATCTAACAATAAAATCGACAAGATCAACCGAAAAATGGAACAAAATCCAAACAAAAAAATTGTAAAAAACGAAATGAAAACCTCTGAAAAAAGAACACTGAACATAAAAGATGAAGGACAAAACATAAAGAAACTAGCGAAATAAATAAAATACAAAATATTTGAAAGTAAACTATAAAGTGCGTCACATTTCATTGAACTTTTGATATAATATTACTTGCTTTTTTAAAGTTATGTTGTCAATATATTTACTTTCCTTACACATTATTTATATAAATTTTTGTTTTTGATAAAGGAACATAATCTTATTTCTGCCTACAATTGTATTTAATCCTTGCCACCTTAAATCCTTTTATCATTTGTAATCCTTGCAAAAATAAATAATTATTCAGGTACTTACCACCTCTTTTCAATACAAAATGAAAGCTATTTTATATTATTTTGTCATATTTAATATTTATTAATTAATTCGCTTCTCATAATATTTATATATAGTATACATAAATGATAGTTTAAAAAAAAACTGTTTCATTAACAACTAAACAAATTTGCTTCCCGTTCAAATTTTGTTTTATATTAAATATATATATTTTTTATGAAATTTTGTTTTTTTTTTGTTTGTTTCATACAAAATTCGTTAAAGATAGTTGTTTCTAATAAAAAAAAATTTTGAATTTCTTTATGGAAGTCTTAGTTAGATTGTTTGTAATCAAAAGTTCCGTTTCCGTTTTTCTTTTCTCGAGTTCAAATTTTGCCTAAACTAACTAATTAAATTTAAGTAAAAATTGTATTGTGTTTTGTGTGTGTGTGCTGAACTGATATTTATATATGTGTGTAGATATGTGTGAGTGAAAGTTTTCTAGTTAAAACTAAGTGTTTTGAGGGAGGAGATTAAAACAAGTACTTTTCTTTGCCAAGTTTCGATTTGCTCCCTCGTTTTTCCACCTTATTTCATCTTATTCTTGAGGGGGCTGTGCAGCGGGCGGTGGGCGTGGCGCCACAGTGCACAGCCTCCAGATAAATCTTAAAGTACGATACTTAAATCCGATTTGTCATTTCATCCTTATTTTCCATTTAACCAACACCAAGCGATTGCACAAAAAACCCGTTGTTGCTTACAACAAATTAAAAGAAAAAAAAAGCGCTAAGCTAAAACAGAAATAATAATGCTGTTTAATGTTACGAAAGAAATCATGGTTTCTTCCAATCGTAATCAAATTCAAATTCAAACTCAAATTCGAATCCAGATTCATAATGTTTTTAACTTATACAAAAAACTAAGGCTCGTCAGATATGTATATGTATATTTATGTTTTTTTAGTGTTTGTTCATTTAAGATCAGTACAATTGGTGGTATTGCCTAAGAGCTAAGATTAATGCATGATATATATTCAAACAATGTTTGTTTCGCAATTCGAATTTTCCATAATGTGTTGGATATTGTTGGGCTTTGACTTCATTTATGAACAGCTTTAGTTTACTTTTTTTTTTATCGACCTTAGCCTAGTTTATTTGAATGTTCTGCCTCTTTGCAATGTGGTTTGTGATTAAGTAATAAATATTTATGCGTATGGTTGGTGGTGTGTAAATATGATATCCTTGCTTATTTTTTTCGCGTTCTTTTTCGTTTCTTGTTGAAGACAAATAAATGCAAACGTTTGCAGTTTGTTCGGTTGGTAGCTCCTAACATCTTACAGCTATATCTTTTATATATTTTCTTGTAATATATATACCTATATACGAGTGATAATCCATAATTTGTGTGTTGCTCAAAGCATATTCAAAACATTTCTTAATCCTAGCGATAACTTTTTGACTAAGAGGCGGTGTTCCAAAAAAAAAAAGTTTGTTATAAACGAAAATTCAAGATTAACTATAAACATAAGGGCTCAATTGTTCAAGTAAGATAGAAATTTGCACAGCAAAGTGAGTGGGGTAGCGTGATACTAAATCCTACAGTCTAAAACTAATCTTAGGGCTAGGCAAAAATATACATAATAAGCATAATCTCCAAAAATTCCGTATCCTCCGCAGGGGGGGCAGTTTTCAAAAAACTTCAAAGTCACAATATTGGTTGCTTAAGTTGTTCAAGTTCTTAAAATCTAAAATCCATCCACTAATTATGGACTGGCATGGGCAGCTGGCCGAGCAGATTGTTGGCGAACTGCGAGTTGGTGAACTTGAAGTGCCGCTTGTCGTAAAATTTCAGCAGCGCCGGCGAGAACGGATGGTTGTTCTTCAGGTGCAAATAGTGCACCTCCGGTTCGCAGGTGGTGTGACCGCACTCCTCGCACACGTACATCTGAAAAAAATAAAGGGTATTAGTAACATCTCTTAAAACTCGAATAAAAATTAATTATCTTTTTAGAAAGCTATGGTAATTGAAAATATATTACTCCTATCTGAAATAGATAAATATATTGAAACTGAGAAACGCATTTCTTGTTTTAACATTTTTTAAATTTCATTGAGTAATGTTATGTTATTAAAGAATCAAAACAAATTAAAATCTTGCTAGAAATTTTTAAAAATGTTTAATATCAAAACTGTTAACAGATTTATTTAAATAATAAAAGTAAATTTTTTTTTGTTCATTCAATGCAATAATAATTTTTAATTGTTGGCGGCAATCAAAAAAATTTTACTTCTAATTTTTGATGCACTTTTTATAAACAAAAACTGGATTTTTGATTATTAAAAAATGTCCCTTTTTTTAATTTAAAGTTAATTTACGTTACTTCAGCTACGTCAAGTTATGTATTATAGTCTTTAAAATCGTAAGACTTCTTTAGTTTAAAAAAGGGATTTAGAAAACTGAAAAGCGTCCAATTTTTTTTTAAGCTCAACTTCCATAACCTATATTTCCAAAAGTTTGTTGGCGCTCGATTTAAAGCTGTTGGAGTTAGTTTTATATATATCTGCTTTTCTGGATTGCAAAACGAATGTTTAAGTACTACCTACAAAGTAGTTATTTGTACAAAAAAAAAAAAATAATATATCCGCCTGAATTTGTTTTATGGAATTACCATTGAGCTGCTTAATTTTAATGTTATAGACCCTTTGCTCCCCGCTTTCTCACCTTGGCTCTGCGCTCCTTGTACGCGTACTGATGCTGGACGCTGTGGACCTTCTGGCAATGCGACTCCAGCGAACAGCGCTGCGTGAAGCTCTTCTCGCACAGGTTGCACTTGTACGGACGGACGCCGGTGTGGGTGCGCGTGTGCCGCTTGAGGTCGAAGGTGTCGTTGAATCCCTTGCCGCAGAAGGTGCACAGATATCGCTTGATATCCGAGTGGCACTTCATGTGCCGATTTAGCAGTCGCTGCAGCGAGAATGTCTTCATGCAAACGCGGCAGACAAACTTATTGCTGCCCGAGGACGAGTCCTCGTTCGCACCGCCGGATGAGCCCATGCAAAGGGCTTCGGCGGATCCGTGACTGCTGGCATTGCTACTTGCACTGCTGTTGCTGTGGTGCTGATGGAGTTGCTGCTGTTGCTGGAGGGATTGCTGCTGTTGTTGCACCGATTGTTGTTGCTGCTGCTGCTGCACCGATTGCTGCATACTCTGCTGCTGTTGCTGCGGTGAGCCTTGCTGCTGCTGCTGCTGTTGCGAATGGTGGCCATGCTTGCTGAGATCATCAATGCAATCGATGTTGCGTATTCGGTGATGGCCACCATGGGCATTCTCCACGGCCAGCGGGTTCTTAATGCCGTGTCCGCCGTTCACAAACTCCAGCTGCAGATCCGGCGGCAAGCCCAACTGTTGAAGAAATCGTAATGTATTTATTAAACTAAGGTTTGCATACTATTATTATTATTATTTTTTTGTTTTAAGGATTCAACAAAACTACGACAATCATAGACAATCACAAACATCAGGTTGAAGACACATAATCGGATTGGCTCCTGGGAAGATTCATTGGTAAATGTTTAGTGCAGGCCTTAAAATCCAACAAATGAACTCCAAAAACTCTTCAATGAACTGATAAAGTTATTCCAGTAACACTGGGTTGTAAACGAATTTTTAGGAAACTAAATTAAAACCCTGGTCCAAATTCACAAATAAACTTCAACTGGGTATTTTTTCTTATGTTTTTAAACTTAAATTTGATGATTAAAATTAGAAAAAAAAAGGTTTTTAAATAATAATTTTACCTTTACATTCTTCTTCACATAATTATCTGATAAATGTGTTTTCAAAACTCATTAAAAGTTTAATTTCATACAATTTAAAAAATCATTTACAAATGGAAATTTAAATAAGAATTATATTTTAAGAAATAATATTTCTGAATCATAGAAAAAAAACCTGCTCTAACTGATAATAATACAGGGTTTTCCATAAAAAAAACTTTGATTTTATACAAATATCAACTTTAAAAATCGAATACAAATAAATTTAACTGTGAAAAACATTTCCAAATCCCAGTTCATCAAAATGCATTTAAGAGTTACACTTTTGGAGACTCTCACCGTCCAATTACCAACTCCTCTTCCACACTTACGCGCCGCTGCAAGACTTTGCTCTCGTTCAAAACGGAAACGGTGGGCGATGGCGCCAGCAGTCCGGCTGCAGTGGCTGCCGCCGCCGAAGCCAAAGATCGCAAGGTGGTGCGGTGCACCGTTTTGGTGGCCGGCACTTCTGGCGAGGATTTCAGCGTGGATATAAGTGTTATCATGGTGGAGCCATATGCCACCGCCTTGGCACGACCACGCAGCTTCCTGCCCGCTGGAGCTGAAGCGGGCGGTGGCGGAACGGGAGTTCCAACTGCTGGTGCTGTCTCCGTTTCCACAGTAAATTCCTCCGTCGTTATCTCGGTTACCTCTCGCTTGGATTCGATAACGGGCTCTGGCTTGACACACACATCCAGCGACAACATCTCCACAAACTCCGTGTACCTAGTGGTCTTCATCAAAGTGATTTGCTTCTGCTGTGCCTGATTTTGCTGCTGTGATTGGATATTAGGCTGATGACCAAATGGATTACTTACGCTTTGGATAAGTGGCTTGGTGTCCAGCAAGGCGGCCGCTGCTGCGGCGGCTGCATTTGCATCCAATAGTGGACTGTTGCTGCTGCCGCCACTGCTGTTGCTGCTGTTGGTGCCGCCAGAGCTGCTGCTGCTGCTCATGGGTCGCTGCAGATGAGCAGCGGCGGCGGCGGCAGCAGCAGCTGCAGCAGCAGCCGCCGCAGCAGCTGCTGCCGTTGGCGAGGGCAGCGACATGTTGCTGTTGTCATGACTATGACCGTGGTGATGCGAATGATGCGTCTGTTGCTGCTGCTGTTGCTGTTGCTGCTGGTGGTGGAAGTGATGCTGATGCTGCTGCTGGTGATGTTGCTGCTGCTGCTGCTGGGCATACATATTGTGCTGCTGGTAGGCGGCATGTTGCTGCTGCTGTTGCTGGTGATGCGACTGTTGCTGCTGGCTGAGCAATTGCTGCTGCTGCTGCGACATCATGGCAGCCTGCTGCTGATAGCCACCGTGCTGCGGTTGCTGCTGCATCATCAGGCCACGCGTGGCATGCTGATACGACGGCGGTGGTTGCTGCTGCACATTATGTTGCTGCTGCACATTATGTTGCTGTTGCACATTGTGCTGCTGCTGCTGCTGCTGGACATTATGCTGCTGCTGCACATTGTGCTGCTGGTGATGTTGCTGCTGCTGCTGGTTGCTGCTATTCCGGGCCATATTGTGGGTTAACTGCGTCAACAGATTCTCGTGCAGGGCATCCAATTGCGCTGCGTTCCCATTGTGCTGCTCCACGGGCGTCACCGAATCCGGCGTTAGCGAGGGCGTGGACACCAGCTCAAAGTCCTGCCGCGGACTTGTGGACTCCTCGTCGTCCACACAGCTCCGCTGCAGGAATGAGCTCAGGTCCACAGCATCGGATAGTTGCTCGAGGAGATGATCGGTCTGCGAACTCAGCATCAGAGTGGCCGTAAACTGGAGCGGATCGACGGCTCCATTTGGACACTGACCCGAACTGGCCAAGTCCGACATGATAGCATCCTCATAGGCGCTGGCATTGAACTGACCGGAGCTGCCCATCGTTGCCTGGATTATGTTCTGCGCAAAGGTACCAATGTCGATCTTGGCCTCGTCGTACTCAATGTCCGGCTCATCCTTCAGTATTATGCCATAGGCTGAGGGATTGCCGCCGTAAAAGGGATGACCGATCATCGAGGATTGACCATTATTGTTGTTGTTGTTGTTGTTGTGGTGATGATGATGATGATTATGGAATTTGGAATTGGAGTCGTTATAGTTAGAAACACTGGCGAAGTTCAAAAGGTTATTACCGTCGACATTACTATTCGGAACACCAACACCGCCACAATTGATGTAGCCATTGCCGCCGCCGCCACCACCACCAGCACCACCGTTTGTTCCTGCTCCCCCACCTCCAGCTGATCCTGCAGTTCCACCGCCAGATCCCCCAGATCCGCCTGAGCCTGCCGACATTATGTAAGCCGCCGCCGCTGCGTTTTGCAGGAAATTTGCTGGATTAGCGTTGAAATGGGAGTGATTGCCGGGACTCTGGCCCGTATTACTGCTGGCAGTGCTCTGCTGGCCGCTCTTGAGGCTCTCGTAGAAGGGCGGGAGTGCGCCCGTGGGCGGTGAATTGGGTCCGTAGTTCCCTCGGCCGTCTCGACCACCGCCCATGCCACCGCCACCGCCGGCTCCGGATCCGGGTGAACCAGCACCGCTGCCCGCGTTCTGATTGCCACTGGAGCCACCACTGCCGCTGTTCTGGCTGCCAAAGCCGGAGGATTGAAAGCCCTGGCCGGCGGCACCGTTTGAACTGCTACTATTACGGCCGTGTCCGGCGGCAGCTGCCAAAATACCGGGCAGCGAACGCACTAATCTGGGGTTCAGCCTTTGTGATTGGGCCAGCAGCACACGGGCGGCCAAAATGGTGCTCCTGCGGCGTGCCTCGCGCACCTGACGCGCTCTTTCCAGCCTCCTGGCGTTCAGCTCCTCATCGGAATCGTAGGAGGGACTCCTTCGTTTCGGCACGTGATAATCAATGGGTTCCTGTTGCTCGGGACCAAGTTGATCGAGTGGTGGCAGAAGGAAACCTGTCCTGCTGGTGGGCAACTGAGATTGCGGAGCCCGTTGGATCACCGAGCAGCGAACGGCGGGCGCAGGGTCGCGAGGAGGTGGCGGACTGGGACGCTGATCCGCTGGAGGCGGTGTGCTGCGCAAGCGCAGGGATAAGGGCTTTACCGCCGGCAACGGGGGCTTCTCGTCCACAATTAGCTTACAACCGCCATCCGAGTCGGAATCCGAATCGGAGTCACTTTTTGGGGTAGCTGGCGAGGATTGGGCTAGGGATAGTGTTAAATCCTTTGGCTCCTGGGGATATTCCTTTCGTTGAGCCTGGGTTAAAACCACGCCGGTATTATAAAATCGGGAGCGTGGCGCCTCTACGCCCACATCCACTTCGTCTTCCTCCTCCTCCTCCTCTTCTACCGCCTCTTTGCTCTTCTGATCGTCGGTTTCCTCCGTTTCCTCTCTCACCTTCAATTTCTTCTGCCCTTCTTCCTCTTCCTCTTGCTGATTTTTTGGTATGCTAATTGGGGAATTTTCAATTGTGCAGTCTTTTGTGGCTAAAACGGAGGTGGCTAAATCGGCTTTGCTATTATTAACCAGAGAATCGCTTTTACCAGGCGTTATGGGGTTAACAATATTATTTTGTGCAGTGCTGGTGGTGGGTGTTAAACGCTGCAGCAATTCGGCGGCAAGGTTTTCTGCAATAAATAAAATAAAAAATTAATCAACAACAGGTCCATAAACATTTTTTATCAATGTAAAAGTAATGGAAAACTTTTCAAGACCGCGAAAAATATATAGAACTTTCGAGAAGAAACTGAGGAAACAACGGAAAATCACCGAAATTGAGAGTAAGGGTACAACTTTTTGTTCGATCTCTATGATCCGTTCGCTTTGGCAATCGCCATTTAACTGTAAAAAGGAACGGAATTTTCTACAAAACGCAATCTTCCTTTTGAACTTGTGTTCGTCTTGAGCTCAAGTGTATGTCCATGTACATATGTATGTGTGAGTGGCATTCAAATCTACATAAATATGTACATACAAATCTAACTGTTATTTAACAGAGTTGTCAAACGACTAACAAATTATAGGACTTTAACAAAGAAATATTGAAATTGTAATTTCTCAAGCACTTGCTAATCAAATGTTAAATTTGGAACTGAAACTCATCAAACCCCAATAAGAATTAATATAGACACCATCGAATAAAACGCAGTAAGAATTTTCTTAATTTTGAAAACTAAACCAAATTTGTTATTGCACAAAAAATGGAGTCAAAATAAAAATATTCAACAAAGTAAAAAACAAAAAGTGGTATTGGAGTTTCACAGCAGGTAGCTTTTTGAGCGTCATTCTTCCGTATTTTCTTTTCCCACTGAATTCTATTATTCCTTCTCGCTCTCCCATTTAAAGCTTGTGGCGAACTCGTGGACATATCAACAATTGCAAAATAAAACCATAATTAAAGGTGAAAAGAAGCCTTACATACATATGGACTTAACGAAATTAAAGGCCCATTGGAGATGGAATTAAAATGTGGTAAGCAATTAAAACTGTACGAGTGTATTTTTAGTAAATCTTCCCTCTCCACTGGTCTTACTTTTCTCCTTATTCTAATACAAGTTGATAGCGTTCGGATCTCTTAGTCTCGCTTTAAAGTTTGACGGCGTTTTTATTTTAAATAAATCAATTGAATTGGCTTTAAAATCAATTGCGATCGGTTAATTACGCCGATCCGCCAATTGCAAGTGCAAGTGCAAAGACAAAACGGGCAAAGACAAGGTTAGCCACTAAAAGCCGTCTTGGCTTTAAATCAAAACAAGTGCAGTAAAAAAAAGCAGCAAGAAAATCAACAACATTGCATAGTAACTTGTTATTGCTGTTGTTTCGATCAAGATCAAGGCTTTTTGTTAATGCAAATGTATTTGTGTGTGTTTGGTGGAGTGGGTGTTTGAGTGGTTATTTTTTTTCTTGGCCCTTTACGAGTGTGCAATTGCAAGAGTGTGTGTAATTACAAATGCCAATCACGCATTCGCTATCTCGCTCTGTTGGTCATGGCCAACATTTGCAGCCGCTGCGCAGTCGACTGCAGCGTCAGCGTTAGCGTCACATAAATTCTAACTGTCAAACGCGCACACACACAAATGCACTTTTAAGCCTTGCTTTTTTATTTTTAAAATTAAATTAATTTTTAAAATTAAATAGCTTAAAGATTTTATATGCTTTAGGGTTATTTAATAACATATTTCCCCACCCCTACTAAATGCCGGGCATGCCATTTATGTTTTTAATGGGTTAATAGACAGGCCACGCCTACATGCCCACACTCTACACGCCCACCTTTTACATCTTACATTAATTCTACATGTTACAAGCTTTATTTGATTTGGTGTGTGTGTGTTAGTTTGCACTGCCATAGTTGTAATTTATTTTATTGTGTTAAGGTCAAGGCGAATTGTAAAATGTTTATAATTACACGAGCACACACAGAAAACATGTTTGAGCTTGAGTTTTTCAAGTTGAAAATGAAACGCGAAAAAGGCGGCATGTATGTATTTGTTCAATTTTGTTGTATCATTTTTGTGTGTTGCTGCCATGAGGAAATGAATTTCAATTGAAGTTGTATTGTACAATAAAACACAAAGCACAAACATTGACCTCGAGCTAACAGCAATTAAAACAAAGTGAGAAAAAAAAATACGTTAAAACAATTAGAATTTTTTCTATCTAAACAAAGGGAGCAAATTGACGATTGCATAGAATAGATCTCGCTTTTGCTAACTTTTCAGAGTTCAATGTACGTTTTATCCTTTACCGTAAATTGATTTACATACTCGCGCCATCCCTTTCGCACCGTGTGTGTGCTTGAACTTTTCAATTTAAATTTATGCCCCACTGAAATCGGCGGCTTCCACCGATTTCGTCTAGCGCGAAATGCGTCGTAAAACCACAACAAAAATGACAAAAATAAAGAAATAAAAACTGATAAACAAAAACAAATACGCAAAACGCAGAAAAAGTGCGAGTTCAAATAAAAAGCGAAATAACTTTGCTTGTGTACTTGTACACTATAAAATTTTTAAATATTTAAGATTTTTTTTTAAATAAATTTGGGATGTTAAAATTAATAGCATACTCATTTTAATAATCACAAATATATATAATTCAAATATTGCTTATCGATTTTGTAAAAATTTTGAAATTGTTATTTTTAATAACCATTTTTAAAAAATACCAAATTAATTTGTACATGTTATTAAAGAACTATTCATTTCCTACATTAATTATTTTGAATTTTATTTCTTTTTGTGTACTATAGTATACATATGTATATATATGTATGTAAATTGTGCATGACAATGCCGACAAAGCAAAGTTTTTCGATCCGAACCGTTGAAGTTGTCGTCTAGAATTCGTAATACATTTTTTTATTTTTCGCGCCCTCTACGTACATATGGATTTTTGATTTTACGGGTTTGCCGCCTGCTAATTGGGTAGATGAACCCAGGTTTCTGTATATTTTGTTATTCTGCGGGTATTTCCAGGGGAAATTTTAATGAAGTAATCCCTTTCAGTTACTAAGTCAGAACATCAATTTCTGAATTTTGTCTGTACTTAAGCATTTATATTTATTCGGTATTTTCTGAGAAATTATTTACTTATTTATCTTGTTTTATTTTTTTAATTCTTTTGTGGGTGACACCTGCGTATCATGACAAATTACTTGTTATTCCCTTATAAAGGAATAACCCTTTTAACCATAGGCGTATAACTTGTCGTTTATGGAATATTTACAATATATATATATTTTATTAGTCTTACAACATTTATGTTTTTAGTTTTTTTTATGTTAGTACACAATACTTAAAACAAGAGAAATTATAAAATGAAGGGTTGCAGCTTTAGCTTCTAGCTTACTTATGTTTTTATATTTTTACTGAAAGAGAGGAAAAAAATATGAGAAAATGAGATGCCGATGTCAATCGAATTCCAAACGCATTCTCAGCTTATAGCATATTTAATTCCTGACATGCACGACAATTCGATGACGGCACACACCCACCCATCTGCCACCCCCTTTAAGCCAACCTTCCTTCTTGGTCTTGTGCGTCTTCATGTTTGTTTTATATTTTGTTTCTGCTTTTCGAATGGTTCTGTGCTTCTAATTGCAAATGCCAAACACGTTGACATAGGCGGCAACGTTTTCCAAGCAGCTCTGCCCATATATATATATATATAAATATATGTATACTTCTATAGCTGTATAAGCTATATAGCTGGCTGAACAATGAATAGTTCCAGACCCAACCCAATGCTTAGTGGCCCTCTTGGTTTCATGATGCTATTGATAATAACGCTGATCATGCTGCAGCATACATATATTGACCTCAATATTAATAACATGCACCAGGTGCTGTTGTCTTGATTAGCCATTGTTCAAACATTAAGTAATGATCGAATCTGCCGGATAATTGCAATTAAGAAGAGCTAACAAAACAACCTGCAACGAGCAAACAAATCTCTGATAAAAACCTGCCTAATTGGGTTTTTCAATCAAAGTTTTTGGTAGTTTTCAAAACGAACACATCAATTTGCTGTAAAAAACAAATTGTTGCCTAATCAACAATGTACTTTTGTACCACTTCTGTTAAAATGGTATGTGTCCTTTAAATAAATATGTATATACATGTTTGTAACTTAAAACATTTTTAGAACCGAAGCATTACAAATATGAAGGAATGGGGCAATGTCAGCCCTCCATTGACCCATGAACCCTTTGCCAATCTCCGGCTGGGTGACCCACTTTAAATACGCATCGATCCACCCCAGCAGCCACCCATCAAAACTTTTGCTTTCGCAAAGCTACAACAAACCGAAACGATTGCAAATGTCGAACTGAATTTAATAGAGCATGAAACCAAACCAGAAAACGTTGACAAATGCACAAACAAAAAAGAAAAGATGGCTTTAAATGAGATGGAAATAAATGCGAAAGTGGCGGAGTGTCATCGATTAGCCGACAAACAGCTAATCAATTCCCTTGGCTAACTGACAAGTGCGTGTTTTCTGTTCCTTTCAAATGTCCTGCAAAAAAAAAAGATAATAAAAATAGAATAGCAGATGCAGAACCCTTGTCAGAAGAAAGACGGCAGGAAGGAGCTTCCTGCGATCCTGCCAAATTGATGAATGCATCCGTTTGAAGGAAGGAAGTTCGAGCTTCTAACAGGTGCTTTTTGCTCAGATCCTTTCCCCGGTTCCGTTCCCTTTTCCCTTTTTTCGCTGACCAAATGACCTAATGTCTGCGCGCTTACCTTACAAATTATGTAGTGTAGTGTAAAAGCCTAAACAGCGAACCCTTTTCTTTTCCTGCCGATCCTTGCAGCATTTAGCAATTCTAATGCCACAAGGACCCAAGTGTTGTGCCAACCCATTTGCAACACGATCCGATCCGATCGGATATTGTTTTTTTTTTTTTTACTCTCCTTACTTTTTGTCTGTATCAAGATCAAGATCGGTTTTTTTTTTTTCTTTCGGCCATCAGACCCTCGGGACAGTCTATAAATTTATGGCTCCTTTTCTCGCTCCCCAAATGAATTTGTCTCTAACGCCCAATTTGGCTTTTGGCTTTTTAGCCTTTTGTATTTTTGTATTTTTGTTGTTGTTGTTTCTTAGGGGTTTTATTTTGGGTTTCTTCCGCTTCAGCTGCTGTTGATAGTTCGATTTCTAAGGGCTTCCAAGGTCTTTATTAGGCCCTTCCGTCTCGGGTTACCCACTCATTTCATTTCGTTGGCCGCAACTTAAAATGCATTAAGTGCCATGCAATTAAGTTTTATCGATCCTCGAAAATCTGCCCATCGCGATTGCCGCTTTGTTATATATTTATTTATAAACATGCCCTGTTGTTCGCTCCACATATGTATTAAGTATATGAATTATAAATTGCCGACGCGTTAACAAAATAATTTCGTTTAACTTAATTGCATTTTTTGCGCTTGCTTGGGTGATGGGTTCTTGATTTTTTTCGGGTTTTTTATTTCGTGCTTTACCAACATTTAAAAATAATACCAGTTTGGTGCCTAAGTCTTTTTTTTTTACCTCGGGCTTTTTACTTTCATTAAGGTGGTAACTAAGTTGTTATTATTTTTTGTTTGGCTTTAGGAATAATTCCTGAATTAATGTTGTTTTTTTGAAGTTTGGTGCTTAAGTCTTTTGTCTTGATAATGCAAATAACATTATTTTGTTCTAAAACTTAATACCAAAAAAAAAACAAATTATATAGTATATATATTAAAGTTTTCAAATAAATCAAAATTCCATTGATAAAAGATGGTTTTGTCAAATTAGTTTGAATTGCTTTATTTTCACATTCCTGTACATTTTCCCTCTGATTTCAAACATATATATGTTGCTGCTGCTGCTGCTACTTCGTTTTCAAGGTCGAAATTGCAACGAATTATGGCCGCTACTAAATGTTGGTTAAGCATTTAATGTTTTAGTATGTGAGATATCGCTGTTCGTCATCATCAACGTTGGCAACC